CCACCAGTTCCCTCTCTCCCCCCCGCTCGACATCGATACCAGCCGCACCCCCGAGGTGCAGCTCATGGCGCCGACGGTCAACTTCAAGGGAACCCTGACGCGCGTCGCGCCGGGGGTCTGGGACGGGGCGACGACCAAGGATTGCTTAGATAGCACGGTGATTGGGTATCCTCCCTTGTACGTGGTGAAGCGGGATTCGCCGCTCGCGGCTTCGGGGGAAAAGAAGAAGAAGACGACGGTGTACTACGAGGTCAAGGTCAAGCAGCCTGCCAAGGGCGGAGGAAAGGACGTGTGTCTGGCGCTGGGGTTCACGGCGCTGCCGTACCCCGGTTTTCGGATGCCCGGGTGGCATCGGGGGAGCGTGGCGGTGCATGGGGATGACGGGCACAAGTATGTGAATGATCGGTGGGGCGGGAAGGGGTTTACGGAGGCGTTTAAGGTCGGGGAGACGGTCGGAGTGGGGATGACGTTTTGGGTTGGGGGGGCTGGGGGGGTGGAGACGGAGGTTTTCCTGACGAGGGGAGGGCGGGAGGTGGGGAGGTGGGATTTGCATGAGGAGTCGGATGCCGTCGAGGATGGGCCGGTGACGGGGTTGGAGGGGTATCATGACTTGAGCTGCGCGGTGGGCGCGTACCAGGCGACGGCGTTTGAGGTGGTTTTTGATCCGGCGAGGTGGTTGTTTAAGCCGGAGCAGTAGATACATAAGGGTTGGGGAGAGGTGGGCAGGCAGCGTTGTGTTGACTTGGGGAGGCAGTGCTCTTGGTTTATGTATTTTAGAACAATATGGCAACTTCTACATCATCTTTTCATGCTAATCAATTAATTGTACACTTGGATTCTATATCTGCCGAATCTCTTTGCCCACCATCTCGGGCCGCTCCACCTCCCACTCGTCCCGCAGCACGGCAAACGTCAGGTCGCACACCAGCAGGCTCTGCCCCAGCCCCCACACGAGCGTGATGGCGTAAAAGAAGTTTGCGTTGCCGCTGCCCGCGTAGATCCACAGGTGGTAAAACGCCGGCCCCAGAAACGTCGTGTAGATGATGATGGCGGCAATGACAAACGTGTAGCGCATCAGCGGGAACACGTGGCGGTACAGCGGCACCAGCGCGAGGAACAGCGACGAGTCGCTGATGCTCGGGTACGGCTTGAAGATGGCAAAGATGCCGAGCAGCAGCGTCAGCACCACCAGGGGCTGGCGCCGGATGCGGATCGTCAGGCCGCCCACGTAGCACGACAGGTGCAGCCAGAAGACGGCCAGGAAGAAGGACCGGAACGAGTCAAACATCTCGATGAAAAAGTACCACCACAGCCCGATGTTGGGCGTGAGGTCCGACAGCGTGAGCTGCACGCCGTACGTCGCCGGGAGGAACTCCCACGAGCCCGTGATGAGGTACGACATCGGGAAGAGCACCCCCAGCACGCTGACGACGACGCAGACGTTGGTCGCGGCGAACCGCAGCCCGGACGGCATGGCGCGCTCGGGGCGCTGCCGGTCGTAGCAGAGGAGGAGCAGCGGCGGGAGGAGCAGCAGCGGGTACATAGAGAGGTAGGCGCCGAACGAGAGGGCCACCATGGCGCTGAAGGGCGCGCCCGACACGGCCTTGGCGATGGCATGGAGGATGGCGCACGTCGTGAAGACGCTCGTCGATCGCCCGATGCACGTCGCTATCGTGAAGGGGTTGAAGAGGAAGCTGGAGCGCGAGGGGTCAGTATTGTGCGGAGAGACCGTTCAGGGGGCCAGACGTACACGGCGGCGATGACGAAGCCGCTCCATCGCTTCTCGCGACGTGGCGACTGGAAGAGGGCCGAGGAGCCGGCTTCCCCCGAGTCGGCTATCTTGCCCAGCGCGGCGGCGCCCAGGAGGTCGACGGCGATGTAGAGGAGGTAGGTAAAGATGGGCCAGCTGGCGAAGCTCGGGAGGAGGGAGAAGAGCGGGAGGAAGAGGGGCGCCTGGTGGTAGACGCCGCCGTCGTACGGCGAGACATTGTGGTTGTAGAGAAAGAGGCCTTCTTGTACTGCGCGGGACGGGTCCGGTTAGCACGACCATCACACGCCACAGAGGACCACAGAGGACCAGAATAAGAGAAGACACATACAGCGCTTGAAGCTCGTCACCGGCGTCGAGATCTCGACGCGCCCCGTCAGGAGTTCGGGGAGTCCGGGAAAGAGGGTAAACAGCGCGAGCCGCAGGACGGCCGCGCCGGCGTACAGCCCGGCCGTCCTCCCCAGGGTTACCTTGCCGCCATCCATTGCTCAAGTCTCCATCGCCAGCGCATGCGGGGGTGGTCAGGTCGTGGGAGTCTAGAGGTTGGAGGCCAAGTCACGTCGGACTCGAGAGCATCTTGCCAGCGAATCCATTCGGCAGCTGACGGTTTGGGCCAGCGAGAGGCCGGCAGTTGACAGCCTAATCTCCCCTTATCGGTGAGCGGTGGACAGCGGCACAAAGGTTGCGACGGGAAAAAAAGTTCGAGCTACCCAGCCAGAAAGTGCCCCGCTGGTTTTTTTTGCTGCCTCTGCCATCCCCATCCCTCTCTTCCCACCCAAATTTCAAAATTCCAGCGCCCTCGTCGCCATAAATCCGACACAATGGCGCGCATCAAGAAAAAGGGCACCACTGGCAATGCCAAAAACTACATCACCCGCACCCAGGCGGTAAAGAAGCTGCAGATCAGCCTCCCCGACTTCCGCAAGCTCTGCATCTGGAAGGGCATCTACCCGCGCGAGCCCAGGAACAAAAGAAAGGTCACCAAGTCGATCACCGCCTCGACCACCTTCTACTACACCAAGGACATCCAGTACCTGCTCCACGAGCCGCTCCTCCAAAAGTTCCGCGACCAAAAGACGCTCGAGAAGAAGATCTCCAAGGCCCTCGGCAGGGGAGATGTCACGGATGCCGCCCGGTGGGAGCGCGGTGCTGCGAGGCCCGAGAAGACGGGCAAGCCGCGCTACACGCTCCAGCACGTCGTCCGCGAGCGCTACCCGACCTTTATCGACGCGCTCCGCGATCTCGACGACTGCCTCTCGATGCTGTTCCTCTTCGCCAACCTCCCCTCCACCTCGGCCGTCCCCGCCAAGATGATTGCGCGGTGCGAGCGCCTCACTCTCGAGTTCCAACACTACCTCATCGTCTCCCACAGCCTCCGCAAGTCGTTCCTATCGATCAAGGGTATCTACTACCAGGCCAACATCCAGGGCGAGGACATCCTCTGGCTGGTGCCATACAAGTTCAACCAGAGGATCGTGGGCGATGTCGATTTCAGGATCATGGGCACCTTTGTCGAGTTCTACATGACGCTGCTTGGCTTTGTCAACTACAGGCTCTTTACCTCGATCGGGCTAAAGTACCCGCCCAAGTTCGACCAGCTCAAGGACGAGCAGGGCGCCGAGCTTGGTGCCTTCCTCCTCGAGGGCGTCAACATTGCGACCGACGGCGATGTCAAGGCTATTACCAACGAGGCGCCCGAGCACGGCGTCGACCCCAAGGTCCAGGCCGAGGTCAACAAGATTGTGCAGCAGCTCAAGGAGGACGACACCAACGGTGATGCCGCCCCCAAGGAGGCAGAATCCGACGAGGAAGGTGTCGAGGCCACTGATGCCATTGACAAGTTTGAGCCCGTGGCACCAGGCGGCGACGTGCTTCCGCAGCCCGAGCAGAGCAGCAGCGACCCGGCCGAGCTCTTCTCCAACTTCACAGTCTATCTCTCCCGCGAGACCCCCCGTCAGCCGCTCGAGTTTATCCTCCGCGCCTTTGGCTGCAAGAGGATAGGCTGGGACTCGGTGCTCGGCGAGGGCTCGTTCACCACCGACGAGTCAGACCCATCCATCACCCACCAGATTGTTGACCGGCCGGTCATCCAGGCTGTCACGAGCACCGAGGGAGATGGGGAGGACAACCAGACGGCCCAGAAGCTTGCGCAGAACCAGCGATTCCCCGGGAGGATATACGTCCAGCCGCAGTGGGTGTGGGACTGCGTCAACGACGAGGAACTCAAGAGCCCAGAGCTCTATGCCCCTGGTGCCGCATTGCCGCCGCATCTCAGCCCCTTTGTTCGCAAGACCCAAGGCCAGTACGACCCCACGCTTCCCCTGGAGGCGCAGGAGACTGAGGCCGAGGCTATCGATGCCGACCTTGCTGAGGCCGAAGACGGCGACGAGGACGACGAGGATGTCGAAAACGACATGGACGTCGATGAGGATGACGAGGAGGAAGAGGCGGGCGAGGACTTTGGCGGCTTCGACGAGGAGGAGCAGGAGGAGGCCTCGGACGACGACGACGAAGAGGCGACCCGGCAACGCCAGCGCGAGCTCGAGGCGGAGCTGGCTGGCGCGTCGGTCAAGAGCAAGGGGGTCGACCCCAAGACCAAGGCGAAGCTGGAGCAGAAGAAGGCGTTGGAGAAGAAGGCGCGCGAGGAGGCCGAGGATCTGGAGCGGGCCAAGGGCATGCTGAGCAAGAAGAAGCGCAAGCTGTTTGAGCAGATGCAGTATACCAACAACAAGAAGAGCGCCGAGGATCTGAAGCTGAGGTCCAAGCGCAGAAAGCTGGAGAAGGAGAAGGCGGCGGCCAAGGGCAAGACGCAGTAGATGGAGGTTTGGTGTTGCAATGTCAGTTGGGGTAGAGCCGATTTCCATGGGATTGTCAGTGTATATAATTTGATACCAACGGCTGTTTCTTTTGCATCCATCTATCTGAGCTTGCTTGTGATGTGAGGTATGTGGCAATTTCCAGCTTGGAAGCACTTTGTATTTGGTATAGGCTGGGGTGATCTCATCCTCCACGGAAATCTTTCCAGCAAACAGGACTATCTCTCCTTCTTCCCTCCTCGAGAGCAATCCCATGTCCATGCGCAATCATCAACTTGTTGCCCATATCGACACGAACCACCAACCAATCCTCGGGTCAATGTCCACACTCCTTAACCGTGATCAACAAACAGCCCGAGCGAGAGCATGAACTATAAGTTGATGTTCCACCAATTTTGATCATTAATCCATAAGACGGGCTATTGGTCTAGGGGTATGATTTTCGCTTCGCATCGCTTGGTCAAACCTCCTTTGGAGGTTCAACAGATACGCTCTGTGAAAGGTCACCGGTTCAAATCCGGTATAGTCCATTCTTTTTGCTCTGTTTCCTTCTCAACTGCGAGTGATTCGAGATGGTTAGTTTTTGCAGTCACGAGGAACCTACATGTCCAGAGACACACAGAGGTTCTGATATGGTGCTTGGAGGCGTTGAACCCCCACGTCCCCTAAACCATTGGGTGGGAGCCGTTGGAAAAGACCAAGTGCGCCAAACAGTACCATAACAAAAATCGGCACAGTGCAAACTCCGGCGTGCAATAAGACCACCTTGGCCAAATTTGGTCCGGAAGCAAACGAACGACAACCCATCTCTCGCACTGCAAACAAAAGACACAAAAACTTCAACACGTCGACGGACAAGATGGGATACATCAAATGGAAGCCCTATCGGGAGATGGCCCGCGTCATGTACGTCGACCAACAAAAGTCGCTGGACGAGATTGTAGAGTACTTTCGCACTGAGCACAACTTTACACCCGGGTGAGTCTATTTTCCGCCCGAGTCGTGTCAGATGGATGGATGGATGGACGGACCAAGTACTTCACCCCATCTTCATGAAAACGTGGGCATCACCACCGACCAAGACCAACGATGCCTCCCTTGACCTCGTCACCCCCACCCCCCCGGCTCCAAATACCGCAAATACACTAACCCCCTCCCCAGCCGCCGCACCTTCCAGCTTCAATTCTCCCGCTGGGGATTCCCCGCTAGGTACAAACGCGCATGGACCAGCGAGGCCTTTTGCGCCCGCCTGCGCGAGCTGTGGGAGCAAAATGTCCGTCAAAAGGAAATGGTCCAGATCCTGCAGGACGAGGGTCACGACGTGGAGATGAGGCACGTGGTCAACGCGCGCAAGCGGCTCGGACTGAAGCTGCGGGAGGACAAGGCGGCGTGTGGGGCGGGGATTCTGCTAGAGGGGGACGAGGATGGGGACGAGAACGGGGAGGGGGGGGAGACGAGCAGTGATGAGGATGGGGAGGGGGAGGACGAGGGGGAGAGGGTGGAGAGGAGTGCACCGCCGCCGCCGGCGATGGACCGCGAGGAAGTGCTCAGACGGATCGAAGAGAGGAGGATCGCGGTGGAGCAGGAGCAGAGGGAGCTGTGGGCGACAAAGAAGAGGAGGAGGCATACCAAGCCGTATGCCGGACTGGCGCCGGATCCGCCGGGGCCGCCGCGGTATCCGTCGGAAATGACGCTGACGGAGGCCAAGGCAATTTTGCAGTTTGACAATCCGGCGGGCTACAAGGCGCTTCGGGATCAGTTCGAAAAGATGCATTCCGCCGAGGGCGGCTTTCGGAAGGCAGGGAACCAGGCGAGGTGGCAGGCTCTAACAGATAAGCTGATTCGCGACAATATGCATCTCCGGGGTGTCATGTGGGACCAGGAAGGGATGGCTCAGAAGCGGCTGGCGCTGGATGTCATCTGTCTGGGTTCGGTGAAGCGGTCGAGGGAAACCGACATGAACATGACCACGGCCGAGGCGCAGAGGGTGCTGGGGCTGGATCCCGCGCAGGGGAGGGAGACGCGAAGGATCCTGTACACGATCCTGGCCGAGTTCAAGTTCACGAACAGGGCGTTTGAGGGCCCGGAGCGCTGGGAAGAGGTCAAGGGGAGGTGGCTGACGGAGCACGAGGCGCTGGGAGCGGCCCTGGTGCGGGACGGGACCGACGAAGAACACAAGCTGAGAGAGAAGGCTGTCAAGGTCATATCAAAGGACGTCTGCTCGCGGCACCGACAAGACGTCAAGAAGAACGGCGGGCTGCCGGTGGATATCACGGCCATACCAGCCGTGAAACCACGCGTCACGGGCAGGCGAGACCGTCAGCCGTTGAAGCCGGTAGATCAAGGCCGGCCCGCGATGAATCGACCGAGCCGACCTCGACAATCAGCACACACAACTTCCCAACCACGTAATGCGCCGCCGCCCGCCCACACACAGTCCCGCCTCTTACCACCCGACGACGACAACGACATGCCGTCGCCGCCCTCTCCAGCAGCTAGTATGTCCCCTATGGACGACGACCACCAGCTCGACCCGTCCCTCCTCGACACACAACATCAACAACAAAACCCCTTCCTAAACGACCAATATATCCAAGGCGTCCTTCAAGCCGCCACCCGGTCGGACCCCCCAGCCCCTCCTTTCTACAGTCACCAACAGCCCCTCCCCCCGGCGCCCGCCCCCGCCCCAATCGCAACCACGACCACCTCCGGCTTCGCCCCCACAGCCGTCTACTTCCGCCTGCATCCCACCTCCTCCGTCGCGGCACCGGCCTTGTGGATATCGACGCTGACGGCGCCGTCGGTCGGGGAGCTGCGTGCACGGGCGGCGGATAGGTTCGGCGCCGCGAGCGGCGTTGTGTGTGTCGGTATCGAGGGCATCATCAAGGACCCTGGAGGTGGCGATGCGACGCTGCCGTTGCCGGTGAGTGACGATGGGGAGCTCGGGGCGTATCTCGAGCATGTGAAGGGGATGATGGCGCCGACGTTTAGTGTGACGTTGTCGGGGAGTGGAGGGTGGGTTTGAGAGAGCTGAGAGGGGTGTATGATTGAGTACTAGGGTAGAGGAATGTAATACTGGGGGAGAGCAGCGGCGGTTTGGTTGTATTTCATTCGCCATGCTTTGCGATTTCGTCTGCCTTCGCTCGAAAACATGGCGAGCCCATGTATTTGTGCCCTATTCAACCAACCACCTGATCCCCCGTCCTGTCTGTTAACAAAAACAGCAAAAACCACACACTTCTATCCCGATAGGTACAGAATCCGACGCACCACTGGGTAGGGGAGATTTACCGACGAACAACTTCCTGAGGCAACCAACATCACGTCAACAGCTCCACCCCTTAAAGTCTCCGATACTACGCCCCTTTGGTGCATGAGCAACGAATGGCTCCGCGCGATCGTTTATATGACCTGCGCCCCATATCTTTCCCCTATATTCTCTTTCAAACATTCCCATCCCATCTTTCCCAGGTACCAGGTACATATTAACCTTGACCCCCCTCCCCCACAATGACGTCCCCCACCCCCCTCCTCACCCTCTACTCCGGCGACCGCGCCCCTCAAACCCACAGCCTATCCATGTTCAGCACCAAGCTCCAGCTCCGCCTCCGCCACGCCAACGTCCCGTACACCACGGCCTTCGCCGCGCGCGACGACGCCCCCCGGAAAAAACTCCCCTTCATCAAGCTCGCCGAAACAGGTGAGCTGGTCAGCGACACGGCCATCATCACCGCGCACCTCGTCGCCGCGGGCCACCTCCCCGACGTCACCGCCGCGCTGCCGTCGGCGGAGCGCAGGGCGACGGGGTATTGCGTTCAGGCGATGGTGGAGGATCGGTTGTATTACCTTGTTGTGAGTCCCTACTATCTATCCGGGCGGGAAGGGGGAGGGAGGGGGCTGACGCCTGACGGATGCAGAACTACGAGAGATGGTACGAGCACGCGACGGAGATGCGGGAGGGGGTGTTTGGGCATCTGCCATGGGGGGTGAGGCATGCGGTGGGCTATGGGGCGAGGCAATATGCGAGGGTGATGATGTACTTTCAGGGGACGGGGAGGTATGACGCGGAGGAGGTGAGGGGGTTTATGGAGGAGGCGGTGGGGGCTCTGGGGGGGTTTGCGGAGGCGGCGAGGGGGAAAGGGGGGGTGTTTTGGATATTGGGGGGGGAGGGGCCGAGTGAGGCGGATTTTACGGTGTTTGGGGCGTTGTCGGCTTTGTTGGTGAGGCCGGATTTGTGAGTTTTCTCCTGGGGGAGTGGTGATGTTTAGGAGGCTGACTGACGACTGACTGGACTGTGCAGGCAACCAAAGGTGACGGCTATGATCAAGGGACAGGCGGCGTTGATGGAATACATGGAGGGGATCAACAAGGTGTATTTTCCCGACTTTGATGACTGGCCTTGAGGACATCGGCTTGGACATGGATATTGTTCGGGGGCTGTATGGCATGGGTCTCATGATTTCAATGTCTACGGACTCTGATACCTGCCTTGGTAGTAGGTAAGTTCATGATGTAGGCATATCTGTTCAGTGTGGTAAGAAAATATGTAATCATGATGGATGAAATTCGTAGCTTCGGAAAACATCCATGTATTCTAGTAGCTTAAGTAGCTTTGCTGATCTGCATGAGAATACGTTGAAATCATGCTAGTCGAGAGCTGTCCAGTCACTCCAGTGGGGAGGAGCTTTGAAATGTCCGATGAGCTCCTATCGAGGTTGGAGTTGCTGCCCTGCAGCTGCAGGGCGTGCACCCCGCAGTTGTAGCGTGCTGCCCGCTGCCGAACGGTGTACCAGTCCGTTTCAGGCCCAGCTACCTCCTGTAGGCCAGCTAGATGACTAGGATCATGCTGGCCGAGGATTTGTCAGAGGTCGACGCGGTCTCTCGGTCCCGTTTGACGAGCACATGCAACCTCGACACTTGAAGGTCCCGAAAGACGGGAGAGCGACGAATCGAAGGCGGGAACATAGCACACACCACACCACACCACCAGCATTGTTATTTGCGACTGACGGCAGCATTCACATGCGACACGTCTGTCAGCCTCCGTCGCAGCCCAGCCTACGTCTTTTGTGCTGCCTGACCTCTCGCTCTTCGCCATCTCCATCGCCATCGCCCTGACGCGTTGCCTCGACGACAATGCATCGTCATAGTCGATGTCTTTGACTCTCGAACCTCGAATCGCCGTCCGACCGGAACCTGCAAAGGGCCTCGAAATGGCAGAACCCGATGCCAGCCCCCCCATGAACCTCCGTCCTCGACGGTCCGCGCGACACTCGACTGCAACCGTCCACCGCGACAGAGTCACTAGCTCGAGCGACGCCGCGGCCGACAAAAGCCTCCTTGCCGTCCCCTCCCCCGACTCGCACCACCCACGCCGATCCTCCTCCGACGTCGAACGGCCCCCCCAAAGGTCTCCCCATCTCGACACCTCCCTAGACGATAGCAATAAGACCAAGCGTCGCTCTAGGGGGAACAAGCATAGGTCCTTTCTGCTCTCCGACCCCATCGCCACCAGCGTGGACAACGGCAC